TTAGCTCATTACAAAAGTGTTGGTCTCTGCCCGCGGCGCGTCGCGTAAACGAGCGGCCCAATTTTTAAGGCTCACCACACTCAACACACACTGTGTACACTCGATCCTCGCTGCTCGACTGGGATACATTTGCTATGAAGATTCGTGGGGGAACATCTCTTTGCAGCGCAGCCTCGTGCGTGCGATCGCCTCAATCAGGTGCCAATTGCGCCACTTTGCCGACGCCGAGTTGCCCGCGGTGGACTGGAAAAACTCGAGCAGCTCCTGCCATCCAAGCGTATGCTGCGGCCTGCCCATCTGTTGGTCAAGCTCCGCATCCTCCTTTTCCGCATCTCCAGCCTCGTTCGCTCCATCCGAAGTCGACGCTGCTGCGGCAATCTTTTGCGGCCGCTTGCCAACAAGCCCCCTATTCGCCGCCGTGGTGAACCGCTTTAGCGCGGTATGCACGAGCGCCTGGGCTGCAGCCGCACACGTTTCGACGTCGTTCGCATCGACGACGATCTGATCCCTATGCTCTTTGGATATGCGGTGTTCCTTGCAGTACTCTGGCGTGCGGAAGCGCTCGTATTCGCGCTCGAAGCAGTCTGCCACTATGCGCGCCACTGCCTCGTCCACCTGCGTTTTCGGGTCGATGCTCGATGTTGGACGTTCGGATGGCGGCCGTGGCCAGGAGTACGTCCAAATGTCGGCGGCGGGGTAACGCTGCTTGAGGCGTGCGATGCGGTTGGACTGGAGCGCAGCGGCGTGTGCGCGAGACGCAGCCTTTACCGAGGCCGAGACGGTGGTGGTGGCGGTCTCGTCGGCGTAGCGCGAGAGCGAGCGGAAGAGCGTATGGTGTTTGACGAGCAGCGAGTCGGGCTGGCGCGCATGTCTTCGCAGCAGCCGATGCGAGCGGTGCCTGTGGCCCGCCATGGCTGGCCCGCCCAATGCTGAGGTGGATCCCAAAGCTGAGGAGGATGGATTGTGGGGGATGGGAAAGAAGCGCCGCTCCAAATTCAGGGTCCAATACTCCAAACTCACGGCCGAAAAAGAAACGCCGCCGCGTGGGGCCGCCTTCCAGCTCATATGCACCCCTTCCGCCCCGCGTGCTGCACTGACCATCCGCGTTCTTCTTCCTCGCCACCAGCTGCCTTGCTTGTTCCCCACCTTCTACCGCGCGCAGTCATGATCAGCGACGTTACGCTGTCCGCGCTCGCCAACTGGCTCGGCAGCCTCACCATGATCCTCATCGTGCTGTACCACGTAAGTCGCCGAAACCGAACCACGCGCTCGCCAACGCTTTGTTCTGTCTCACACTCTCACTCCCCTTCCTGCGAACTCAGGCACTCAGCGTCAACGTCAAGCGCAACCAGGAGTCTGCGCGCAGAGTCGCTGCGTCCACGTAGACACACGCCCCATATACCTCGTGCGCTCTCGTCAATAGCATGACCAATCCGAGGCCACATGCGTGGTCGTGTCGGCTGCGTCTTGTGAGCTGCATTCGACCAGGCTCTGCCCCGTTCATTGGTTCCATCAACGCCGCTTTTGCACCTGCTTGAAGATGCGGCTGCATACCTGTACATTAGCCTCTCCGCGAACAATCACTCCAACCACACTTGTCCAGCCGGCTCGCAGTCCGCCTTCGAACTCAATCCTCAGAGACGTCAGCGACTGTGCATGGCTGCTTTCGTTGATGCGGCAGCACTTGCAATCGTGCGTACTCGGCCGTCTTATGCCCTTGCACTGAAAGCGTGGTCCCAATAATATCTGAAGGGACAGTGATAGGAGTACAAGCTCGTTGAGAGGCACATCGCTCCGTGCGCGCTATCGACCTTGGTCGCTGTCATTGCAGTGCGCGCGGCTTCGGCCCAGTTGTTGGTCCACGCTTTGTTTTGACACTCGCACTCAGATGCTAGCCTGCATGGCTCAGCACAATCTCATCAGGACGGAGATGTGGCCTGCCCAATCGCGTCCAGCATGCCCGGCTAGCCATGATTGCCTTGATCGATCAGCTGTCCGCTTTGCTGCAGTATGCTGGCCAGACACAACGGCGGCTGTAGGCAAAGCTAGCAGCAGTGCGTGACTTGCGTCGGCATGGAGGCGAAGCAGATCACACCAGCAGCCCGTCACTTTGCAAAGATGCGAAAGCCAGCCGCTCCGCGCCGGGCCTGACATGCACACAGCTGCAGGCGCCGCTCTCGTGCTCATGGCGATAAGTCGTCACGTCGCTGGCGTAGAACGATTCTTATCGGATGGGATTGCAGGCTACCAGCACGACGGAGCTCAAACTGAAGCGAGACGTCTATTCGTCGTCGTCGTCCTCCTCGTCCTCTCCGCTGAAGGCGCCTTCCTTAGGAGCCTGTGTAGTGTACATCGACAAGTCAGCCATCTGGTCTTGCTTTTTACAAAAAGGCTTGGGGGTTTGTGTGCTTACTGCAACTTGCTCGCCTCCAAGTTCGGCGGCGAGGCCGTCTCGCGGGTAGGTCCTTGGGAGTGCGGGCTTTTCGGGCGTGGCAGCGTAGACGATGGAGCCAAACACGCCGACGACGCCGATGGCAACGATGAATTGGCGGAGTGCCGAGCTGGCGGGCACGGCGTGTACGTCAGGCGCCCAGACGGAAAGCACATCGTCTTGCTCGTGAAGCTGAAACCCCAATCCAAAACCAACAACATCAGCAAAAGCTCTATATCAGTGCAAAGTGGGGATGCACTTACCGTCTCGCCAAAGTTTCGCTTTTCTTGTGTGTCCCACCACTTGGGCGAGTATTTGCGCTGCTGCAGGCTGACAAACGGCAGGTCCGGGTAGTCGCCCAGCTGAGGATCCTTGGCGTCGCGAGCCGCGGCATTGACCCTGGACGTCGAGAGGTGGCGCACGGAGGCCGAGGTTGTGCGAAGCACGGCACTGGAGCGCGAGGCACCAGCCACAGTCGTTCGTAGCAGAGACATGGTCGAGGGGGAGTGTGAGTGGTGTAGGTAGACGGAGAGGTGGAGAAGAAGCGACGAGTGGCTCGAGATTGGAGATGCGATGCTCCTCACCGGTCGATTGGAAATCACTCACTCACGCCTGGCGGGGGAGCGGCGCCGGAATTGCAGTGTTAGGGCGACAGAACGACGGCGGCACACTTGACTGCACCAGTCAAGCAGAAGCTGTGTGGTGATCGACTGCCTGCAGTTGGATTTTATGGATTTTTTTGGCGCCTCTTCGAATGTTAGAAGCCAGCCAAGACGGGCGAGCGTGCGCGCTTAGACCAGCAGAGGAGCGGCTTCAAATCGGGGAGCGGCATCAGCACGCATTACAGAACTGACTGCCAGATTTGAATGCAGCAGCGCGGGCCTGAATTGCATTTCGCGCTTTCGCCTCGACGCGGTTCGGAATCGAGAGCGCTGCATCGCCCTCCGCAACCGAGCAAATTCGCGCCCCAACTGAGCCGCCAAAGGGGGGCAGAGCTGTTGTGGCCGCCGCGTTCCCTCGAGTGCACGGCGGGCGCCCGCTGAGAGAGCAGAGAGGGCAGTTGGCATTTCCAGAATGGGTTGGGTTGGGTTGGCCTCTGCGTGCGGCTCTCTCTCTCTCGCTGGCTCAGGCTTGGCCCAGGCTGGCCCAGGCTGGCCATAGCTGCTCATACGCCGCCGTCGTCATCCAACGCGCCTACCACCATCCATTCTCCCTCACCTCGATCGCGTGGCACCGCACGATTCCTGGCATTCCGCATCTCTCGCACAGCACACGCCGAAACCAAAAAACATCGCTGCGGCAACAACACTCGGCCTCGTTTCTTTCGCTCGTATAGACCGTGCCTCGGAGATTAGGCACACCCAACCGGCTTCGACTCTTCAGCACGCCTGCATCGCTCACCGTTCGTCCATACTCGATCCTCAAAAGTCCAGCACCTATCGACCGCTCAATACCCCTGGCATCGCGCCTACCTCTTGTCGCATCAGTATAAGTTCCTCCTGCCCGCTCCGTCATCCGCCACCTCTGCTGCTCCACATCTCTCTTCGCGCACCATGGTCGACATCACAGAGCAGGACGCGTGGATCGCGCATCTTAGCGAGTGCAAGCAGCTCTCGGAAAACGACATCAAGCGTCTCTGCGACAAGGCGCGCGAGATCCTGCTCGGCGAGTCGAATGTGCAGCCCGTGCGCTGCCCCGTCACCGTCTGCGGCGACATCCACGGCCAGTTCCACGACCTCTCCGAACTCTTCCGCATCGGCGGCAACTCGCCAGACACCAACTACCTCTTCATGGGCGACTACGTAGACCGCGGCTACTACTCGGTCGAGACCGTCACGCTGCTCGTCGCGCTCAAGGTCCGATACCGCGACCGCGTCACCATCCTCCGCGGCAACCACGAGTCGCGACAAATCACCCAGGTCTACGGCTTCTACGACGAGTGCCTCAGGAAGTACGGCAACGCAAACGTCTGGAAGTACTTTACCGACCTCTTTGACTACCTCCCATTGACCGCATTGATCGACGACCAGGTGCGTCTCTCCTCTTCTCTTGCCCGGGCCTTTCTTTGGCGCTGGATACCCACGCTGACTTGTTCCCCTCTCTTTATGATAAAGATCTTCTGCCTGCACGGTGGCCTCTCACCATCCATCGACACGCTCGACCACATCCGCTCCATCGACCGCATCCAGGAGGTGCCGCACGAGGGTCCCATGTGCGACTTGCTGTGGTCCGACCCGGACGACCGCTGTGGCTGGGGCATTTCGCCGCGCGGTGCCGGCTACACGTTTGGGCAGGACATTTCGGAGGCGTTCAACCACAACAATGGGCTGACGCTCGTGGCGCGCGCGCACCAGCTCGTCATGGACGGCTTCAACTGGTCGCAAGAGCGCAACGTGGTCACCATCTTTTCGGCGCCCAACTACTGCTACCGCTGCGGCAACCAGGCGGCCATCATGGAGATCGACGAGAACCTCAAGTACACCTTCCTCCAGTTCGACCCCGCCCCGCGCGCAGGCGAACCGCTCGTATCCAGGAGGGTGCCAGACTACTTTTTGTAGCCGCGCTTCCAAAATTCTGGCAAACGCGCGCGCCCCGCCCCGCAAGCAAAGCATCCAAAGTGGTCCCCATCCAGTCTTACACCTTCCCTCCATCCCCCATCCCCCATCCCACCCCCTTTCTCGTTTCGATTTGGTTGTTTTTTTTTCGCAGCTCTCTCTCTCCATCATGCTACTCGCTTCGCACATGGCTTCCCTTTTTTCCATCCTGAGAGCTTGGAGCGAGACAAAAAAGGCGGGTTCAATTACAGGAGACTATGTGGCATGCCGCAGCGCCATGGACAGATTGCACATCCGACGCAAGGCACAGACGCGGCGCTGGTCACTTTGAGCCTTGAGCGTGGAGCTCCATTGCGGCGAGATAAGCAGCCTATAACGGCAAAGAGGAGCAAGATATGTACAAGTCGGGGAGGTGAGGGATTCGGTCGTGTTTGTCTCGGCGCTGACCGGATCATTGCGCCTTGCCGTTGGCAGCCTTGCCGTTAGCAGCCTTGCCATTGACAGCCTTGCCATTCTGCTTGGCGGCGGCCCTGCGAGCCTTGTCCTTGGCGTACGTCTTCTGGTAAAACGCGATAAAGAGGAAGAGGTACGAGGTGAGGCAGATGATGCCGGAGAAGGCGGCATGCTCCTTGCCGGCGCAAGTGCCAACGTGCGGGACGTTGGGGAAATAAGTATAGGCGAAGTAGTTATACGACGCGAAGTACACTACTCCGAGGTCAATGACAAATTGGGTGATCTGCGCCGTGGTGACCGACTTCTTCCAGGGGCACGGAATCTTGAGCGAGGTGAGCGCATAGTAGAAGTACATGAGCACGTGCACGGCGAGGTTGAGGCAGATGACGACCCACGACACGGACGTCTTTCCATGCAGCTGCGAGAAGCACAGCACGGCGGTGGCCGAGTGGTGGTAGACGTGCAGGAAGGCGAGCGGCTTCTTCTTGAGCACGAGGAAGACCGTGTCGATGAGCTCCCAGTACTTGAAGTAGTAGTTGATCATGTAGTACGTCTCGAGCTTCATCGTCCACGCGCCCTCGCCGCAGATTCCGTAAAAGAGGCCGTTGCGACGCACGATGGGCACGACCTCCTCGAGCATGAGCGCGAGCAGCAGACCCGAGCCAAACGTCAGCGCCAGGTTGTGCAGCAGGAAGGGCAGCTTGATGCTCATCGTCAACGGCGCGCGGTTCTTCATGAGCTCGCGACCGCCAAAGATGACCGCAAGGTAGGTGATCACCGCAGCCACCAGCGCGGGCACCGTCGAGATGGGCGACTTGCCCGGGATCCATGCGAGCAGATGCACGGGCGTGTCGTTCTTGATGTTTTGCGGGATCGCCGCCACCACGGCGTCGTAGATCGACACCATCTTGAAGCAGAAAACAAAAGGTCTGAAGCAGAAGAAGAAGAAAACGGAGCAATAGCGCGGGGGAGTAGGGGGAGAGACCCAGGGCGAGGTGATGGTGGGAAGGTAAGCTCCGAGGCGACGAGGAGGGCGGGAGTCGTACGGCCAATTGACGGCGCCAGCTGGAAACCGCGCGCGCTGGAAGATCCACGACGGCCACAGCGCATGCACGGCTGCTGCGAGTGACGGCGAGGCCGAAGCTGGCGGCGCATCCCGAGCCGGCCAGAACGACGCATCTGCTCGACCGACTTGAAAGCCTCATCGGAACGACGCGATTGTTTGGGATTCGCCAGCCAGCGTCGGGCGGGTTCAGGCACCCTGCCACTCGTGTGACGCAACTGGACAGAGAGAGAGAGACCAACACCCGCTCAACTTTTCGCGTTTCCAACAAAAAATCAGCTCTCCCTCACCGATACGCGAGCGAGCGAGCGAGCGAGAGCGGCTCTTCCGCACCGCGTCAGCAGTCCATCACTGTGAAGTGGCCGTGGGAAAAAAAATCCTATCCCGCCTGCCATGGTCGAAACCTGCAAGATGGCCATGAATGCACGCACGCACGCACGCACACGCACACACGCCCGCCCGCTCGCTCGCAGCTCGCTCGGCGAAACGACAAACGCCAGGTTTGGAATGCAGCGAAACGCG